GCATGTGTGTCCATGAACTGAGCAAAAAAACATAAATCCCCACATAACAACCATGAATATTCACTGTTTTATCAAACACTACTGTGGGTCTATCATGCCTTTCTCTTCAACAGGCTAGTGATGTTGGAGCATCTATGATCATCCATGCTTACGGAGCCTACTTTGGCTTGGCAGTGGCTCGAGTACTTTACAGACCAGGTTTAAGAAATGGACATGAGAACGATGGATCTGTTTATCACTCTGATATGTTTGCTATGATCGGTAAGAGAGCACAGAAAATAATTCTGTGATCATATATTAAAATGTGTTTACAGAGATAGTTTTCCCTTCTTTCCCGTGACTTTCCCTCCCTGGTGCATCACTGGCCTCCAATGGAAGTCAGACTTATGCCATCTAGTGGACACAGACAGCTGTGCAGCATGGACCTTGACATTTCCGTTTTCAACATCCTCTTCTACAGGAACCATCTTCTTGTGGATGTTCTGGCCCAGCTTTAACTCAGCCATCGCTGAACCACCGTTGAGCTACACTCAGCTCACTGCAGTGATCAACACCTACCTCTCCCTGGCCGCCTGCGTGCTCTCTGCCTATGCCATCTCCAGCCTGGTGGAGCACAAAGGAAAACTGGACATGGTCCGGCAACTTTACTCTAATAGTTGTGACAGCGACAGTTCACAGAGTTAAAAGCAGAAATTCAGTCATACACTTGTCTTTATGTCTTTCTACTGCACAGGTGCACATTCAGAACGCCACCTTGGCTGGTGGTGTTGCAGTGGGAACATGTGCTGACATGAGCATCGGGCCATTTGGAGCCATGCTGATTGGGCTCGTAGCTGGCATTATCTCCACCCTGGGATTCAAATACCTAAATGTGAGTCAAAAGAAAGACAACTGGTACAACCTGGTACAGGCTGAATCTGAATTAGCAATGTGTACTTTTGTTGGTGACTAAAAATCCCCTGTCATTCCTTCTCTGCAGCCTATACTGGCATCCAACCTGGGTATCCAGGATACCTGCGGTGTCCACAATCTGCATGGCTTGCCTGGCATCCTGGGCGGGCTGGCTGGAATTGTGGCTGCAGCTTTGGGGAAAAAAGACGGGTAATAGTCACCTCACGCACTAAAAATCTCACCACAGTATTATAATAACCCATATATACACACACATAAAAGCAATATGGCTTTGACACGATTTACTTCATTTAAAAGTCACTTCTTCTCATCCTGTCTCCTTAGTGCTAGCGCTACCATGCAAGCTGCTGCCTTGGGTTCATCCCTCGGGTTCGCTTTGGTTGGGGGTACTATTACAGGTGGGCAGAGGAGATTAATAAAACTATAAATGTTACACCCAATGGCCAAATTGCTCAATGGAAAGACATTGAGGTTTAGAAAAGGGTGATCAAACATTCATTTTCTTCTTTAAGGTCTAATAATGAAGTTGCCTTTCTGGGGACAACCTCCAGACCAGAACTGCTTCGATGACTCTATTTACTGGGAGGTAAGAAATCCCATTCCTCATAAATATTATCTTCAGGTCTCTGACTGTCTGGTGCGAGTGGCAGAAGGCAGATTTGTTTATTCAAGTTATTAACTCAGATAGACTTGGTTCATATATCAGTATAAGTAGAGAAAAAGTGAGCACATCCAGGCACAAAAACTACACATACCTGACAAACACCGTGTTTTAATAATTAAAGTATTAAATTAGAGCCAAATAATAAGCAGTCAATCAGTATATCATTAGATACAGATTTTAATTCACAGAAACACATTGTGCATATCATGCATGTCCATAAATGCATTGTGCATTTGTTTGAACTGTATTTTGCGTGCCTGGTGACCATTTATGCCACAGACAAATAATTTGCATTGCTCGTTTTCCAGGTTCCTAATGAGGAGGAAGAGAACGAGGAGAGCCTGGCTCACGGAGATCAATCAAAGCACAAAGCAGATGTTTAAACAATTGCCCACGATTTTGCCTTAGCTATAAATGAAGACGTTTTTTAAAAAGTCACAGTTCAGCTCCACCACAAGACCAAATATCAGTTTGTTGATGCAGGATTCGCTTAAACGTGGTGCTTATTCCATTTCTGAACTGCGAACCACGCACAAAGTTATTTTCATCATAGTAAAGTTTGAATTTGTATCGGAAAGAGCACTTAAACATTTCCGCATAAAAGCTAAAAAAATATATATATATATAGATATATATGCATGATAAAAATTTTAAATTTGGTTAAAACTTCAGGGATTTTTTTTTTTTTACACTTTGATTTATATTCACGAACCGCTCCACAGCTTCACTGCTGACACACTTGTATAAGCTCTTTTTTTTTTATTTCATTTTATATGATAAAAAAACATAAAAGCATGTTTACTATATGATTACAGTGTGTATTTTTCTTATACATTATATTTTTCTGTAGAAGCTCGAGCAGAAAAACTGCGCTTTGACCTCACTGGAGCCCAGTCCTCATGTGAGAGGTTAAGTCAGGCATTGTAAAAACCAGCAGTGTGGCTCTGAAGTGTGCAGGGACAGCCGTATGATATTACTGCAACTAATAAACCTTCCTAGCATTTTCTATCTTTCTGAGCGCAGCTGTAGAAAAGTTGATTGGCTGTCACTGGGTGAGCTGGGGTTTGTTTTTCACTCTGTTTTCTGTTCAGAGCAAATGTATTCCTACATGTACATACAGTTTAGATCTTAGACATGGACATGGTCAGTTTTATCAAAGCTTTAAACATAGAAACTGGTACTGAATATTTTTCAGATATTATTCAAACAGTATAAAAGGAAGCTACCTACCAATATGCAGTGCCACGATGGCAACAAACAAACTGTCATACCATAGATAGTATCATAATATCCACCATTTTTCTTTCCTCTATTGTTGTGAAATTTGTGCACTGTGCACTCCCTCAATCTAGATTTTGAACAGCACAACGGCAAAGCACTGCAGGACAGGTTAAAACACGGGACTGAGCGCTAGATAAAACTGACTTAATGATTTTCTTGTTTTTTCTCAAATGATCTATGATGCTCACACTAAAATGCATCATGATTTTGTATTTTTATACAGCTAACATGAGCTCTTATTTGTATGGTATACTATTACTGTCATAATAAACATGTTTTTGTACAGTTTTTGTGGTTATTTTAAAGCATGTTTCAATTATTTCAAGTTCTCAGTTTAACTAAAGAAATGTTATGGGAGGATTTTTTTGTTTTGTTTTGTTTTTTGTCTTGGATTTTTGCCCTCCTCTGTATAAGCAATGAGAGACAGAGCATAATTTAAATTCTACACAATATAACCGAGTTAAATGATTACCAGAATGACGTCAGTGCATAATCTGACTCTTCGATGGGTGCATGGCTCAATTATAACTGCAATTTCTCCGTTTCTTATTGATTTCTTTGATGGATCGCCATGAAATTTTGTTCAGACATCCATCACTCATCACTGGACCTGCAATACACACAATATACATGAGCTCTGCAGAGCCCACTACATGAGCTGAATTATTCGTATTAGAGACAACTAAACAAACAAACATCTGAAAATAAATGCATGGAAATTTTTATTAGGGGTCACCAAAGAAGATCATCTTCTTCAATCTCACCTTATCCATAGTACCTTCCTCTGTCACACAAAACCCTCTACGTGTGTTTTTGTTAGCGCCACCACCTCCAAACCAACTATCATAGCAGGTCTCACTTTTTATGAAACTTCCCCTTCACTCCTGCCACTATCCTTCTTTTGCAAATCACTACTAATACTCATCTCCACCTACTCCACAATGTCTGCGTGCTCTTCTTGCTTGGGATGGTTGACCCCAGGTATTTAAATTCATCCACCTTCGCTCTTACTCCTCCTTTCTTCTTCACCTTCCCATTCACGCACGCATTCTATCTCACTTCTTCTGACTTTCATTGCTCTTCTCTACAGAGCATAAGTCCACCTCTCCAGGCTTTCTTCCAACTACTTTGTACTCTCACTATAGATCACAGTGTCATCTCCTGCCTGACCTCATCTGTCACCCTGTCTATCACCACTGCAAACAAAAAGGGATTCAGAGCCGATTTTTGATGCAATCACACCTCCACCTTGAACCCATATGTTACTCCTACTGCACATCTCACCACTGCGTTGCTGTCCTCATGCAGTGTGGGATGAACCTACAGCGTTTGTGTGGGACAAAGAGAGACACGTTCACAATGCTGGGATGTTGTGAAATATATAATATAGAATGCAACTTTTTTAACATTCTTACTAAGGAAATATAATAATAATAATAATAATAATAATAATAATAATAATAATAATAATAATATGATAAAAGGTCAAGTTTATTCTCATTTATCACTTGTGATAGTTGCTGTATTCGAATATAGCTGCTTTTCTCACTGGTAACAGTCTTGGTAGTTTGGCATACCTGTTTTAAACAAATTATGACTCAGACATATTATGTCAATTCACATTATATTTTCTCCTGTGCAAAATTGAAATACATGTCTAGCAGGAGAAAAAATGACCAAAGATTTTCAATGATATTCATCAAAATCTGCAAAGCTGTAGCTTGCAACCTTCTTTAGTGCACATTGCATTTTCTTGATTTTATTTTATTCATCTAATTAGAATAAAAAGCCTTCTTTTCACATACACTGCTTAAAAAGGCGAATTTTAGATGTATCTCCCACAGGACCTGTTAAAATGTGGAACACTCTCTCAAGATATGGGAGAGGAGGACAAGGAATAAAAATATACTTGTCTGCCATTCCTGTTTTCTAATGAAGCATCACAGTTCCTCTCTTGTTAACCTATCATAAGCTTTCTCTAGACCACTTATTGATTAAATTATATTCAAAACTCCTTCTCTTTATTTAAATATAATAGTATAGTAGTATGTTTTCATCGAGCAAACACAAGCAGTACGAATACTCTGCAATGAATAATATCTCTGTCGCCACTGGGGGGCGCTGTGATAGCTTTCGGTTCTTCTCGCGCCTTTGTTTTGAAAGTAGCTTGTACCGGTGCATCATGGGATACAAAATGTTTCCTAAGGTAGCTAACTAGTGCTAATTTACCGGAGATAACTGGTTATAAACTCACAGTTTACGCCTTCTTAAAGTCTTTGTAGATAGAAAATATTAATATAATTTTAACTGCACCCAACTGTCGCTATGGTGAGTACAAAAGCTCAGGTTTAATAGCTTATAGTGGGGGTTTTTTTAGCTGTAGCTCTGTAAACGTAGCACTGTGCAACGTTTTTGTATATCCATATCTCCGTATTCTTCCATTTATTTGGGGTTTTGTTATTCGTAGCTTTGCCAGCTTATCCAGGAGCTTTAAAGGGTGACCTGTTTCTTGTCACACACAAAACCCGCACATATACACACACGCAACACAAGCAATAATGATTTCTCTGCGTTTGCAGTCGGCAGAAGCGGACTGTAGAGTGTCCACCTCCTCCAGCTCCAGGAAGGATGAAAGGAAAAGATCCAGAAGCACAGGCAAGTTTCCCCCCAGTGCTTACCGGTTGCGCTTTCATTTTATTTATTTTTATTAGAGTTAACAGCCGAAGACACATGTGACGTTACGGCTGGACATAGATAAATAAATGAATAGATACTTAATTGATCTCAAGGGAAATTATAGCAGCCGACAGTGTAAAACAGTGTCTCATGTTGGTGACTGGGGATCAAAGAGTAGACTGATTGTTGCTGAGAAGAAGGAAAACTGACTGTTAAATTAGTGTTTACCTATTATGTTTACTAGTAGAATAGTAGATGCAACATATCTCTCCAAATCTATTAAAAATTTGACTGAAAGTCTTCATTTTTTGTGAAGATATAGCAGCAAAAATACATAAAAAAGACTGAGTTCACATTAGCAGAAAAACAATAAAACAGGACACATTTCCTTTATGTTTCACTGCACCTAGAGCTATATAAATGCTTAAAAATAGTCAAAACCAGAGTACAAACTATGTTTGTGTATGTCATATTCAAAATTACACCTTAGTAACCAATTATACTACCTTACTGTGTCTCGCTTCCAGACACTGTCAGTCAAGGGAAATGATGAATGGCTGCATTTGTAATTTTGTAAATATGGCTTACGTTAGTTTATTGTGTAATTACATTTTTGTTTTGCCCCTTTTTTTCAGGAAGAGAAAAAAGGAGGCGGAAACGCAGCCGTAGCAGATCTTCCTCATCATCCTCTTCCAGCTCATCATCATCGTCTTCGTCTTCGTCTGCATCGTCATCTTCATCGTCATCTTCGGGTTCTTCACGGTCATCCAGCCGAAGTCGCAGCAGCTCTAGCAGTAGTGGTAAGTGTGCACTAAATGTCTGAAATGTATCTAAAGAGTCTTTTTTTTCCTGAAGTTTCTCATCACAGTGCTGATATCTGTTTGGATTCAGCTTAGTGTGTTATTTCTGTTCCTGTTAGACTCTCGCAGTAAATCCAGAAAACAGTCCAAGAAAAGGAGAAAGGAGAAACATAAAAAAGTAATTTACTATTCATTTGTTAGCTTATATTGCCAAAGAATTTTTAAGCCCCAAGAAAACTGAATTATGCTTTTTTCTTTTCTCTCCAGAAAGGGAAGAAAGAGAAACGGTCTAAACGTAAGAAAGAAAAGAAGTCAAAAGGAGAGGAGGACAGCTCAGGACCTGTGCAGATCTCCAAGGTAGGAAAACATTCAGCAAAAACCTTTACATGTTTCTGTTAGACGAGTGTGTTATATTGGTGCATTATATCATGTAAATATATTCATGCATTTGCAAACATTTCTTTCACAGGAAGAATAGAGTGATTCATTTTTAAGATTACGGACTAGCACTTTAATCATTAGGTGTTCTCACAATGGCCAAAGATGAATTATAGAATAAGTCTATTCATCTTTATTCTTAGAATAAAACATGCAACAATTGCTACTCATCCTCCTCATCTTTGAGGTGGGAATAACAAAGCACACAAGCACCTGTCCAAATGAAGCTCGCCTCACCATAAAGTCCCCTCCAAAATCCTATAGACCATAAAGGAATTCTAATATCAAAGCCATCCATAATAGGTGGTTATATTCTTCATTTTACAACTTTGTTTTTAAAGAGTTCTGACTCCATCCTGGCTAATATGACAGGCATTTTAAAGTCAGAACACCCAAACGTTTTATTCTTTAATTGTTTTGATCCATATTTCTTCATACTGTTACTGCGGGTGTGCATCTTCGCGTTTTCCGACATTTTTATTCCATCCTTAACTTGGCTTTTATTTTGAAAATTGACCTCATTCTTTATTCTTTTCCTGTACCTGACTTCCTGCCATCCTCATACGCCATGTGCAGCTTCCATGCATAATAAACTCAGTGCTGTGTTAAGCATCACAGAACAAAGAGCTGTTTCTGGGGCATGCTGTGGTGCATTTCTTCAAATTGCAAGTGTTGTCTTGAGTACAGTCTGTGTTTGCATTGATATTGGAATGTGATAGTGCCTGTCTGGCATTTTCCTGGGATTAGTTAGAAGTTGAACTGATAAGATTCTTTAAAATTCTTTCAGTATTTGAAGGACAGGAAAAAGGGCAAATACAGCATGATTTCAGGGAAGAAGATAAAGATGAAAGTAAAGAAATCAAAGAAAGACAAACAGGTAAGCAATCAGATGTGCCTTTTTGTAGTTTATAGATTGTTTGTTTGTTTTTTTCACTTGTCTTATGTGTGCTTTGTTTTCTTACAGCGAGACAAAAATCGAGCAGAGCTTCTGGAGTTCTTGAACTCTACCCTGTAATCCCGCTGTGAACACCGGTCCTGTTTGTCAGGCCCAGACACCTCAGCAGATCTCAGGAAAAAATAAAAGCAGAGTTTTCTGAGAAGGAAAAGATGACTGTAAATTGAGTTGCCACAGAGAGGCAGCAGCAACGTTGCCAGAGTGCAGGAGGAGATATTTCTGTGGGCAAAACAAGAAGCAGTCACACCGCAGGCTCATGATGTAAGCGGTGTTATTATTAAGCAGTTGGGTAAGTTCATCTGTGGTCCACCAGATGGAAATAAAGTTGCTCACCTGCCTCTGACTTCTCAGATTTGCTCGCAGTTTGTCATCTCTTTCAAAAAAAGAACTCCCTAATTAGGTCGCAACATACCATTTCACAAAATACAGAATTCATTCAGTAATTGGTTCAGAAAAGATATGGGCTTAGATCTATATGTGTCTTCCATGTGTGAAGCTGGCTCCAACATTACCCACAGTGTATCTCAGCCACCGGCAGCCTGGTCGGAGTCTCACGTAGCAACAAAAAGAGGACTGATCAAGTCACACCCTCTGATTTTCTTTTTTAATAAACCTGATTTAAAGATTTGAAAACAGACTTTGCTGTTCTTCTTTCAGCTCTTAGTTACTTTCCCCATTCATAGCAGCCTTTCTACATTTAGAAAGGTTTCGTACGTTCATTTTCTGCTTGTAGCTGATGAGAATTGCGGTTGCAAAAGTGCAAGTCTGATTGTGTGTTGAAATAAGTTTTTAACATGTATATTATGTTAAAAATGCGAATCGACTCTGTATTGTTGAATTATTATAGTAAGTCTTATTCATAACCATTTATTCTCTCATGAACAATGTTTCAAAATCAGTTATTTTTATTGTATTGACATATAAAAACACAGACACTGTCAGTTCCTCTTGTATGGAGATAATGTCAAGATGTTTATGGATGATGGATGAAACCTTTTATGTATTGCTGAATAATGGTGGGTGACAAATGGAGCAGAAACAGCAATTAAAGTGCGTCAAAGCTTTTACTTTGATCTGACAGCCTTTGATGATTAATTCCTCTTCCCCCAACCCCTCCCCTCCAACATCCTCTTGCAAATAAAGAGCACAGGAAGAGAGCTTTCAGTTCACCGACCTTGGATGATGAATTATGTTCCTGGGTCCTTCTGTGCAGTTCAGGAGGGAACGTGTGACTCACCTTCTCATTGGATTAAGTCATTTGTTTTAAGACTATTTTCCTTCTATACAAAAACTGTATGAACAAAATTTATAGCCCAGCCCTGCCTGTGTAGTCTGACCTAGCACCAAGTTTCTCCTCCCAATAAACAGCAGTTTAAATTAGATTAATTTCCCTATTAGGCTACATTAAAAAGCCCTCAGTGCTTAGATGCCAAATCTCTGCAAAATGAAAGAGGCATCACTTCAAGTAGTGATAATCTCATGAAAATTCTTTCAAGTACGGAAAAATATTTAAAATATGATAAATTAGAAAAAAGACACTTCAGATAAGAGAGTAAAGCAGGGTCAAATGCTGATTGGTACTGTACTGTAAAACCAGGCGGACAGATGGACTCATCCTCTCTCCTGGTGCAAAAGTGGACACTGCTACAAAGCATTAGTCCTACTGAAACGTCATTATCATCATCATCACCATCTCTGTCCCGTGAAATCCCGCATCAAACAATCTTACTGCTGCCGGTTCCTTTGTATCTAAAGTCAGGCATGCTCCACACTCTCTGCATCTTCTCGTCCTTGTCCATCCCTCTCTCCACGTCCTCTGACACGGTTTTGAGGTCGCTTAGACCCGCCCCTTCAGCTGCAGCAGAGGTCAGGCCCACTGTGCTTCCAAACGGGTTGATCTTGATCCGCGATCTAAAGTTCATGAGGGAAACGCTCATGGCACGTTTGTTGTTCCACTGGCGAGCAAGTCGCTCCGCCTCCTGCTCCTCCTTCAGGTGATCCAGAGCCTCCATGAGGACAGAGCGAAACAGACCAGAAACTTCATGCACTTCGGGCTCATTGGCCTGCATGGCCTCCCTGAACCTGTGCAAAGAAATGAAACAGTGATTGTGTGGTTGTCAGTGCGATGGTTTTGTAATTGGCTTTTTTCTTTTGGTTGTTTTGTGCACCCTTTCTACAAAAAGACGCCATTAAAAATGTTTTTCATTTAAAAAATATGAACATTATTAGCAATTAGCTTCTAACTAACTCATACAACAAGTTTGAATCATTTAGAGTCACATTTCCCACCTCTATATACTTGTTAGGTTCAGATGCTTGTAAACAAAAACATCAAATCAGCTAATCGCACGGAAGCAGCTCAGTGCATTTAGGAATGGAGACTTCATAGAGACGACCTGCTGAAGCTCAAACTGAACATCAAAAGGGGCAAAAGAAAGGAGATTTGCTACAAGACAGACTGGTCTAAGTATTTCAGAAACTGCTAATCTGCTAGGATTTTCCTGCACAACTATCTAACAAGCAGTTTTATTAGATGAAATCTGAGCATTGTGAGATAACAAATGGTGGAACCTAGGTTCTTTGTCTTGTGTCCTTAATGAGTCCAGTGGAGTGACAGCAGATGCCTTTTAATACAAACGTGCTCACATTATAACACCTGCTTGCTCTTCTAGCTGTGAATCACTTGAGATCCTCAAAGCAGGACTGTCTATATATATGCTTTGCTTTTTTTTTCTTTTCTTTTTTAAGTAAAGTGCACGTGTGAAAGCGACTATGGTCAAATGATCTGATAAAAGGATGCCGGTCAGAACTAACGCTGGAACTGCAGTCAGTTAATGAGCATCATCATTTTCTAGCAAATTCTGTGTTTCTTTTGTCGGTACGTTCGATAAATGAAATCTTTCACACGTCCCATGACATGTAATGCTCAGAGCCATCTTAACCTGCCTGTAACAGATGAGGATCCACGTGATGGCAAATGTTCCTCCTCTGCCAACTAGTGCCTGAGGCCCTAACAAACCTTTAAATAGAAAACCTGGGAACCAGTTGCTCAGTAAGTACTTCAAACTGACTCATAATTGGCCTTTTGATCAACTCATGCTAGCTCAGATTTAGCATCTCTGATGTTGCTTTTATGATTCCAAAAATAGAATTTTAGAAATACAGTAAAATATTCCTATTAAGGATACAATTTAGTTTGGCAAGAAATTTTAAAAGAAACGGAAATCCATCCTTAGGGCTTCATATGTCATGATCCTGGGCTGACTTCTCAACCCTAGTAATCTCACTCAATTATAATAAATACTAGTTAAATGTATTATCTAAGGTAAGATGTTCAAAAACGTGTTATTAATGTGTTTGGCTGGCACAAAACTTTTCTTTTCGGTTGTAAAACAGATTAAAAATTAACCAACTTTACCAATAGAGTCAATCAGTTTCATTTTATGTATGAAATTGAGTAAGTTTAATATACATTTAAAGATGACACTTTTAACAATTCCACAGAAATCAGACTCACCAGACAGAATATCTAACCTAAAACTGCTTGTTTAAAAAAAAGAAAAACCACTTATTTTGGGGCGGGGGGATCTCCCAGTTGCCCTGTGGCAGCTGGAACAGGCCCCAGTCTCCCTTCTACCTTGAACTGGACAAAAATGGATGAATAAATGCAATTTTACTTTGTTAAATACACTTTATAGTAAGACAGCTGAGTGCTTTGCCAACATGAGGCAAACTGAGATTGCAAAAACATGGTAATCTTGGTCCCTGCTGTGTTGGTGACTTCCACTTACCATTTAGCACCTCACCTCTTACTCACATTAACGCTGTTAAACTCTAACAAGGCACCTGGAGCCTCTGCAGCTTTCTACGAACAGACGCTAAGATGAGTTCAGGAAGTCTCTGTCGGAGATTAAATGGCTTTGAATGCACCAGAGCATTAAAGTCACGCGTCAAATGACGGAGAAGCTGGCCATCTTATCAGTTTGCCTCACAAAACCTTCCCCTGGTCTGTGCCAAAGAAGACGCTTAAGTGTGTCTCGTAAAAGTGTTAACACAAACAGAATTAGGGAGGGGTTATAGTTGGTTACAGACACAGACCAGTAGCCATTCCTGTTATAAGTTTTTGAAGACCACCAGAGTGCCTCGTGCCTAGTTGATGCAATGTAGTCTCAAACTGTCACAAAAGATTTTGTTGTCTTAAAAGGAATCAACACAGTCAGCGACAATTCTCAGGTCAGTGTGGATTTTAAATGATACTCAGTTGGTACTAAAGGGTCTAAACTGTGCCAAAAAATAAGCCTCATGCATTACACCACCAGGAGTTTAAACACTGATACAAGGAAAGATGAAACTATGCTTTCTGACCCTACTATCTGAATAATGTACCAGAAATCAGGACAGGAGTGGCGCTCAATGTGGTCTTCTGCTGCTGTAGCCCACCTGCTTCAAGGTTTAGCGTGATGAATAACAAGGTGTATTCAGCATGGTTGCGCATGGTTGCATAACCATCAGCTTGAAGTCTAATCATTCTCCTCTGAACTGCCGTTCACTGGATATTTTGTCTATCCAGTTTAAATAGCTCCACTCTGATGCTCAATTTGAACTTCAGCAGGTTGTCTTGAACATGTCTACCTTTCTAAATGCATGAGTTGCTGCCACGATATTTGCTGATTAGTTATTTGCATTAACAAGCAGTTGAACAAGTGGAAGTAATGAAGTGTCCAGTGGGTGTGTCTATAAATGCCTGAGCGGGAAAAATAAAAAAAAAAAGGCCAGATCCAACTTAGCCTCTAGTACTTAGGAAGCATGCTAACACAGCAGTCCCCAACCCCCGGGCCATGTGAGTCGTTTGGTACCGGCAGAGAGTCGAGGCTCGGGTGTGAAATTTATGTTTTTTAGGGTTTTATCGGTTTTTATCGTTGCTGTCCCCCCCTCCCCCCCGTCTGTTATGAATGAATGTTCTTTTTTTGCTACTTATCCGCAGCACCTTACAGGCCAGTCCGTGAAAATATTGTCGGACATAAACTGGTCCGTGGTGCAAAAAAGGTTGAAGACCGCTGTGCTAACACACAAAACCAAAATAGCAGTAAACTTTGTACCACATTGGCTTGTTAGCATTGCCATGTTGGTTATGGGTATTGTTACAAAAAATAAATACAATTATATATTTAAATACATTCTTACAACATTGGTGATCTTATCTTTCAACTCGAAGCACAAATCTTTTTCTAATAAATAAAGCTAAGGTTAGCATGCTTGCTAGCTAAATAGCTTTATTTATTCATTGCACTGTGTGAATGTATGTGATTGTGCTGTCATTATTATCCAGTGTTAAATAATGTGTCAATAAATTTAATCTCTGAGTTCTTTTTTTCTTCTTCTTCTTCTTAGAGAATAGATGCTAACTTGTAGCTATCCTCATTCATTTCATAAGTAGCCATGAGATAGTAGCTCTGAAGTCAAACTGTCTTCACATTTAATAAAATTAAAGTAGATTTTTGGCGACAAGGAAACAATATGGTATGCTGCTAAACTGCTATAGTGATTTTCATCTCACGCCTACTCACTATCACCTTACTTGAGTATGACCAGCCCACAACAGGATGGGGGCACCTTGGCACAGAGGTCCTCCAGGCCAAGCCTCTCGCCTGTACTGATGTTGTAGGTGGACCGGGGCGCGCTGGCTAGCCAGCTGTAGTCGACCCCAGTCTTTGTGCGTCGGTACTCGTTCTCCCTCTCTCGCTGCTGCTTCTCAGACTCCTTCAGCTGCCAGCTGAACTCGAGCATCAGGGTGTCGGTGACCACGTCGGCCGGGTCCCGGCGGGGAGTCCGGTAATACGGCTCGTTCCAGCTGAACCACGAGGCCATGGCCGCGTCCTCCTTCACTGTTCCCTAATGAGGGGGAATGACAAGCAGACTTCAAGTTTATTTCTGAAAGGCTGTGTCTGTGAGAACAGAGCATTCATTCAAACAGGCCACAAAGTCAAAATCAGCCTAATCCCAGATCAGCTGAACTGAGCCCACATCAGCTGACAACTCAGCTGACGCTCTTTTATGCATCCAACTGGCAATACAGGTTGTGCTATTTAATCTGCATTAACCTGCCAGTTCCTGGACATCTGCAAGCCACTTTGCAACCCACCTCTGTTGCCTGCTCTGCTCTGTGAGCATTTTTGCTTCTGCTGTCCCAGAACAGAGCCACACTGCCAAATATGAATTATAGCAGATGGAAATAACATTCTTATTCTCAATCGAGTGATAAATAAATAAATAAATAAATAATGTGTTTAGAAAGAGACACGCTTGAAATGTTTAATTAGAATCTGTGGATGTTTGAAAATGGTACCAATAAAACATAACAAACAGCACAGGGTTGACCTGCAACGAGTTTTAATGAACATTCATTTTGTAAAACAAAGCATCCTCTGAAGTGTGTTCGATATCTGCATATTTTTCAAAAAGACAACATCCACCATGCTGCGTCGGCTCTTTGTTCTGCAGGTGTCATATCCGCTCCAAAGGATCTCTATTCAAGCCCATCAATAGTGGGCCTTTTGTTAGCTTGTATTAAAAAGCACAGCTGTGCAGGCCACTGATTCATGTGTCGTGAGTCATTATTCAGGATTTTAAAGCATTGATTTTACATGATGGGACTTTGGCACCTTTTTTTTCTAAATGAAAAACACTGTTTCCGATTCACAGCTTTAAAGCTTACAAATCTAAGTCCCATTTTTAGTGGTTTTTCTAGTATAGATGTTGTTTTCAGCATGACCAGCCCCTTTAATGCTTGACCACAGTGTTTTTATGGTAGGTTAATCTATTTACATGCTGGAGGTATCTTCTGGGCCACATCAGTTGTACATGCGCCTCCAGGTGCTGTGGCTACAATAAAACATGCGCTGAGCAAAGGTTTCACAACAGAGCGATGGAGTGAGATTACAGCCCTACCTCGACCCCAAGTGGCCAGCAGTTTAACCCCTAAAAATGGAGCAAGTAAAATAGTCACTGCATCAGTATGTTTTACATCAGGAAGGATAAAGGCTGCATTTTTCAATCTATCAAGTAATCTGAAAACAAAACAATCTGATAGCATCTTCTTTTTAATCAGATGTCCAAAATATTAAACTTGCTAGGAAGTAAAGTCAGAAAATAAAAAAATTAAAATAGGTGAGTCTTTTACAGAGAAATGACATAAACTAAAACCACAAAATAACCAAGCATTGAAAGACCTTTAATCTCAAGTTGTTTTTGTAATATTTGTTAATAAATGACCTAAAAGATCACTGGATTTCCAGCCATTGTCAATTAATTTCTCTGTCAATAGCAACCATTTGAACTGACCACTCCTTTCAGCCCTGAATTGGAGACTGGTCTGCTGCTCTCTTTCAGGACTCCAAATCTAAGTGATTTCTTATTTATAAGTGGCGTGAATACCAGAAAAAAAATACATGCCTTCTTGAAGTCAGTTTTTTCAGCCTTTATTTTGAACCAGCTTGTTGCTTCAAAGAATGCCTTACCTCTTCCTTGTTTCTGAAGTTTTCTTTGGTCTCCACAAGATATAAAATCACCGTAGAGCCGGACAGTAAAAGTCCTCAGGAAGCAGAAGAGCTGGGTGGATGTCGAAGAGACTGGCTGAATGAAACGCAGAGAGAAGAGAGAGGAGAAATGGTTTTTCTCTCGCCTCCTCTTCCATCCTCTCTCAGCATTATCGCCACCTCTCGCTCTCCCCTCCTCCTCCCAGGAGCCTCTCTGGCCTGCCTTTACTTGTTGCAGGAGGTTGGGGGCACCATCTCCAATGGGAGCCGTTGGATCATGGCCCCTGATGAAGTGCTTATGTAGCTCTTTACGATCCACCGTTGCCATAGAGACACTTGTAAGCCTATTTGTCCACAATAAGCTCCATCAGCTGAAAAGGGAGCCTGAGAGCGATGAAGAGGCAGATAAACAGGACAGAGTGGGTTGAGCAGCGAGAAGGAAAGAGGAAGACAAATCAAAGAATGTTGTTCGGAGGACAGTGTTAGTGGCGTGGGAGCTCGGCGGTGCACGGACAGCACATGCGGGAGGTCATCTTGTGTAAATGAACAAATTAACTTCCCGCAGATAATGGGAGTCACTGGGTTACAGTGGATGGTCCTGAATTTTTGGAGGGGAGGAAATGTGCTAATTACAGGAGGAAATGTTTGTCAGTGTGTGTGATGCACAGGATAGAGTCCAGACTTAATGTGCAGTTGTTGTGTAGGAGGAAATCAAGGTTTGTTGGCTTATTCTGTGTGTAGGTGTGAGTAGCAGCAGCAGCAGCAGCAGCAACAGCAACAGCAGCTAACCTCTGACAGTTTCCTTCTGTGCATTCTCACTCCAACCTTAAAATCCTCATCACCCTTCCATTACAGCACAACACCATCCTCCTCTTTAGCGATACACCGCTAAATAAAATGCTGCATGAACCGCGACCTCTGTTTAGTCACTGCAGAAGAATCCATTACTGAGAATGCTCACTAAGTAAAACAAGAGAAACATTTATATTCACTGCTGCATCTTCCAATGATAACATGGTGACACCAATATAAAAAGAAATAAAATAAAAGCTCTAAATGCGTCACAATATTTATGGTTCATAAAAATATTGCAGCAAACAATTCAAGCAGGTCTGAAAAGTACTCTTTTTTCACAGTGACATGACAGTAAGTTAGCGTAAACAATACTCACTGTGAATACATGCATTACTACATCTACTATTTCTTGCTATTACAACAGAAACAGGGGCTTGAATTTAGAAAGTGTTGCGTCCTAAGTGCCTGGCTAAATGTAAAAAAAAAATTGTAATCATGTTGAGGAACTATTGAGGAAGTCAAAAATCAAAAAATCCAAAGATTATGTAGTTAACATTCCCCATTTACTTACCAGTCATTGTATACACTTTATCTATCTCATATCCAGAATCATCAGTTAGCCCAGCATGGATGTCTTTGAACTATGGGAGGACACGAGAGCATCTGGAGGAAACATGCAGGCACAAGGATAACGTACAGGCTGCACACAGAAAGGGCCCTCGAGTTGGTAGTGCTAACCACTATACAGCTGCTGTAGTGATGCCAGCCATGAAAACTCAAAATGTATTCATAAGAATCCTGTGGGCAACACTTGGCAATGGTGGGGAGGAAGAACTCCCTTTGAACAGGCTTCAGGCAGAACACAGATTATAGAGAGACTGTTAACAATAAATCACAGCTTAAGCTAATATCGTATCAAGGGATAGCATTTCCCATCATGCCATGAGGCTTAAAGATAAAGATGAGATGGTTTAGCAAGCTGCACCCAAAGACCATATGGGTGCATTACACAGTCCCAGAGGCCTGCTAATGAGCAAGATCCAAATAAAATCCTAGAATTTTACACACAGTCAGTCAGTATAATTATATGGCAAACAATATGGCATAGAAAACGGTATTATTTGTAAGATAAAGGCATTATAACTACTCCAAAAGGAATCAAAAGCACAACCCAGTTACTCCAGTTAGTAGAAGTGAAGCAAAGCAGAGAGCTAGTAGCTACAGCCACTTGTATCGGCATCCACCACCCAAATCTGTCATGTGAATAAGTATGCAGTCACTGCGTTAAGAGTATGAATATAAAACACAAAGAGCTTTTTCAGTCGCCCAGGCAGCTGAAGACATTTATCCTCCGTGCAGATAGAGTGAAAGTGTGTAGGGGGAGGGTGCATTGTCTGGATTGGAACTCAGCCACAGTCTCCTCAGCCCTGCCTGATCGGGTGTGGTGCATCTCTAACCAGGTTAGCTCCACTCACCTGTTTCCTGGAAGAGAGATAAAGACAGTGCGAACAAGGAGAACAAGAGTTCACATAATTCAAGTCTGTCTGCAGTCAGCACACACATCATATGAAAGACGTATGACATGCTGCAGCACTTCCTTGTGTTTCTGTAGCGTTTTTATGAAGGCGCTTTAAAATGAAGAGGAAGTATTTTTCTGTAAATAAGTTACAAAGTGATTTTTTTAAACAGGACAGATTATTACACCAAGCAAAACTATGGTTAAAGTGCATAGACTCTACACTTTTAGAAAGTATACGGCTCCTTTACTGGAATGATGAACAATAATTGTCGGTAACACTTTATAATACAGCCTGTCACTTAATTCTCCTGTAATTAAATTGAATATCAGGGTATTATATTTGAAATTATAATGCAATTATATTTATCTGCAAATACTTAAAGGTAGGTGCACTAGAAATAGGGGTAATAGATCAGATTATTACAGGAAACAAAAACTATTAATCTGCAAGAAAAATTTATTAATCTTTAAGTAATTATAATGCGTACCTCATTTTAAATAGTGCCTGATTAATTTGAAATATTGTATAACTTAAAGTATGTGACAGGAAAGGAGATGTAAATTATTCTGTACATAATTTCAAATACTGCATAAGTAATTTTAAGTAGTGCAAACGTAGTGGAAAACATTCTTCATACTTAATTGTAATTGTAAGTAAATGTAAGTATCGCATAACTTTAAGTAATGCCTAAATTCTGGGTATTGTGCAGAAGAAGTGGACAAATTATAATGTAAGTAATTTTAAGTACACAGTCATTTCACAGAAAAACAACCAATATTTTCCCACCTTACATTGTTAGCACACTGTACCTTTCAGGGCTTGGAGGTAAGGGGGTAACAAACCTGACTTGTTACCCCCTTATTCCATCCATCCATTCTCTGCGAGTTATCCTTTTCAGGGTCGCGGGGAAGCTGGAGCCCAGCTGTCTTGGGGCAAGAGGCAGGGTACACCCTGGACAGGTCGCCAGTCTGTCGCAGGGTTAACACATAGACACAGACAGCCATTCGCACTCACATTCACAACTATGAGCAATTAAGAGTTTCCAATTACCTAAAAGTGTTTTTAATGTAGCTCTTAAGTCAAGTGGGCACTCTGACCATTTTCTTTTTGTACATGGGTCTAATCTGTTTAATAATAGTAAACTACAACCTAAAGATCCTGTGTCACCTACAGCTCATGATTAAGTGATATTGATCAGTCAAAGTCTCTATACTGCCTAATTTCCCTTGAGTTTTTATTAAAACATGAATCTAAGGTGGGTTTTCAATCAAAAGCTGCACATGCACTGAGTTTTCGGGCACTTCTTTGCAAAAAGAACATGTAATATAACACAGGATGAAGGCACTGAATACTTCCAAACATCCAACACAATTGTGTCATGGTTTCAGTCTGTCTGGCTGGATTGAGGCCTCCACTATCCAAAGGTAGTCTGTCTGCCACAATTTGAAGGTGACAGATGGGCAGGTAAGCTCTCGCTGTAATCCAACCAGATGACAGTTTTAATCCTCTAAAGTGATTCCCTCCATCCGCCCCATGTTAAACTCAGAGTGAGCGGCGGCAGGGCTCGGACAGTGCGTCACCGGCACGGAGTTCATTTGGACGGTTTGGCAGATTTGATGTGTGATCTGACGCATCTCACTTCTGGGTAGCAAACTGGTTAGACTCACACTGTCTGCATTTGCACCTAGTCGCAAACAATTACCAGGCGGGTGAAAATTGCTGCAGTGGGACAGCGTGGTGTTTTTCTGGGAAAATAGGCTCTTGAATGGGTTTCCGTGACTGCCCGAGCATGTTTTGCACTAAATGATCAGAAAGATTCCATCAAAACCAGTCAGGATGTGCATCTAAAAAGAAACCATTCCACATTTTGCACAATTCATTCATCATGCTTATTTTAGCATGAAGACTGGTACTGTGCTGGTAGCTATGAGGTCCTAATGAGAGCTTTGCGGGCTTATTTTAATGTTTTGTTTTATCTAAACTGTGAAGCACTTTGTAACTGAGTGTTTTTTTTTAAAGTGCTACACAAATAATATTGTTGTTGTTTTAAATATGTGGCCTAAATATGTGGGCTACTCTTGTTTACTGTGCTGCTACTGGTCACAATAATATAAGGAAGCTCTTTGGTAAAGTGAAACAGTGAAAAAACAGTGAAAAACATCAAATGCAGAGGGTTGTTTGTTAGTCTTTATTTTAGCTGTCATAGGGCCAGAAGTAGGTTATACCCTTGACAGGTTGCCAGTCCATTTCAGGGCCAAGAAACACAACCATTCACACTCATAGTCTATTTGGAATCAACAGCTAACTTAACCGACATGCTTTTGAACTGTGGGAGGAAGTCCAGTTTGAACCCGCACAGACATGGGGAAAATATGTAAACTTCACTCAGATTCAAATCCGGGGCCTAACGATGCTAAGCCCTTCATCCATCCTAAAAAACAGACAAACCAAAAAGCCTTTTCTTGGTGTTTCCCGTTTTTACACAGATCATTTTTCAGGCCTAAACTGTCCCTTGTAAATTTCCTGTTCATGCTCTGTTATGTTATTATTTCAACAGGTGGCAATTCACTGCAAACAGCTCGGCATCAAGCATCAAAAATCTATTTTTGCCGTTCTAGTAAATTTGCTTTGATTACTAAGAGTGAACAAGGTGGTTTCATTCTACAGCTGACCGTGATAAATAAACCTCTTAAGCTCCGTGAGGTGAACAGGACACGGCAAATGTAGACAGTGAGTCAGAGTGACTCAAGCAGGGGATTGATTGCAGGAAGCCTGGAAAACAATACTGAGAAGGACATCATGCTCCAGTGAGGCAGCTGGTCGCACTTTGGTCATTTTCATGTATATACTGGGATTTGCATAAATCCACTCAAGTTCTCACTCAGTTTTATCCATGTTAAAATCTGCATTTAAATACTTTGTAATGCTTTGAACTTCCTTTGTGCTAAAGTGGCCTGCATCTAAAGTGATTTTATACTGAAGCATTTTAGCAGTCTACTTATAATCACAATGAAACCAGATGATTAAGTTCCTCTTAGAGCCTCATGCTTTTGCAATACCCAAACCCACCACAAGGGGGAAGAAGCTGACCACGTTAGCTGCCGAGAGGCTTCATATACACCCCGCATAAGCTCGTTTATATCTTTATCTCTGCAAGAACGTCGGGTTTGCTTGTAAAATAGTCACCACAGGTTTTGGGTGGAGAAAAACGGGAGCAGATGGAGCAAGCTGTTTTGTTTTGAGAACTCATGCTTGACATTCTTGAGATGAAAAGCCTGAAAAGTTGGACCAAACAAACAACAGGCAGCCTCACCTGCTGAACAAACATTATTCCACATGCATGAAAGCATTCCTGAACTATCAACTCAAACGAAAGAGGCGAGGAGGACTTGTTATCTGTTAACGGAGGGACGTGTGCAGAAATGTCACACTAACCTTCAGAGCTCGTTGCGCATTAAAGTGAAGTGTCATGGTCAGACACGGTGCTGAACGTGAGCTTTGTTTCATTGTCAGCCTCTTTTCCACACGCGTCGGGCTTTGTGCGCTCCACACTGAAGTAAACTGAGTAAGAGTCACATGATGAGCCGAGCACAAAACACTGGCACTGACGTCAGAGGTCCGTTCCTCTGACACTGACTTTTTGTCTTCTTCTTTTTTTTCAGATATTTTCTCTGTTCCGTGATAAATATCCAGCTTGTGATTTCCCAAAACGGTTTGATCTCGCCACAGTCTTGTATTATCTCCCAAGTGACAATCTAAACTCTGGTCTCATAAGCTGACCTTGAGCCCTGACTTTTATTTACTGGTGTGAAAATGCCCCCAAACTCTAACTTCAGCAAAGGTTTAGTGGATAAAACCTTTTAAAGACATTTTCGACTATTAAAAGGAATAGTTAAATATATGTTTGAGACAGTAACTCTGGCTCTGTCCACAGATGACAAAATCCACCTGTAGCATCCACAGTGCTCACAAACATGTCATACACATCTTTGGTTCATCATTTGTGAATTTTAAAGCCCTTCTCACCTCTGTCGGTCTACTTTGTCCTTCTAAAGACTTCATATAATCATATTCGTACTAATAAGGCCATCTTACTTACTGACCTGCATCTGTCAGAAAAGTATGGGAAGCTGTCGTCCCAAGAATTCTACCCTAAAACACACCCTTAAATCAGAGGAGTAAAAACCAGTTTGTACCTTCTTCTGTCTGTCAGAGACCAGAAGAAAATGACCAGATTGTGTCAAGCTGATAAAAATGCAACTTAACTTAATCAACCAATGAAGTACTATAAGCCGGAAGCTTTTGAATCTCAGTCTTGATTTATTTTGTATATTTGTGTGTATTTTTGTCACTTCTGACTGAACTGATGTCTTTCTTGGACAAAGAATTTAAACATGATATTTTATTCTCCAGGTTAAACAACAGTTTGAAAAAAAAACTTAAAAAGGAAGGAAGAAGGCATCGTCTAGAAGTTTCCATTTCAATTTATATTGGATTTCAGCTCTCAACAACGCAGGACCTGCATCATTGCAAATATTCATGACTTTATGCTGAATGAATGAACGTACATGCTGAATCTTTTTGGTTATTGTGAACTTAGAACCCATAGAGTGGGGCAGGGAGTGATACAACACAAGGTGTGGTGACATTCCTTTTTGGAATGTCAAAAGAGGGAAATGTGG